CAACTCATTGCAGGTTATTTAAAGCCAGAAAATGTTTTTAAATTCTAAGATTTTTTTTTTAAGATAATTATTATTTACTGATACAATTCTGACTAATTAACCCATAGCTGGGGGGAGAACTGGTGGCTGAGTACCTTTCCAAAGGGTACTTGCTTTTAAGTGAATGTAATGAACCCAACAGGAATTGGAACACTGATTAACAATTCTGAGCCATTATCCTTTACACCACCAACACATCCATCCTTAGAGCACCTGATATTTCCAAGTGATCACCCATCTAAGTACTGACCAGGCTTGATGTTACTTTGGTGATCATACAGGAACATGTCCATAAGTCTATAATAAAAAAAAAAAATACTATTAAAGAGAGAGAGAGAGAGAACACTAAAAGAATCAAGAATCAAGAATTGAGAAGATAACAATTGACATTGCATTTACATTATCTGTCTATATTTCTGAGTTGAGGTATTATGTACATTATTTACATTATTCGGACTATTGTCCTCATCTTTGTTGCCATATTTATCAAAACGTTTCCTCAAGGACACAGGGCACAGTGGATAAAGGCGTTGGTTAGATCCAGTGACAGGACCCAAAGAGTGTGAGTTCAATACCCAGTTAAGGCAGTGGAGAACTTTCAGAGGGAAATTAACAGGAGATAACTGATAACTGACATCCATTAAACATGGCACGTGGAACTAGAACCGTCTACCCCAGTGGGCGAAATGAAGGGTTAAGTTTGACATTCCAACCACCTGAAGAAGGCCAGAGCGTACAATGGCCGAAACGTAATAAATATGGCGACAAAGATGAGGACAATAGTCCGAATAATGTAAATAATGTGCATTTACATTTTTGAAGATCAATGTTGACTGGAAAATAAGAAGTTGGAAGAGAGTTCCACAAGCGAGAAGTGTGAGAAAAGAAACTGTTGGCATAGAACTTATAGTTACATATAACCATTTCAATTGCAAAATGAGACCTTACTGGCATTCTAGTACTGCACTTAAATTTGTAAAGTCCTGTTACCAAAGAGGAAAGCTTATCAGAATGATTACTATGAAAATATTTATAGAAAAGGCAGAGGGAAGCTACATTACAGTGGTAGGAAAGGGACTGAATCCAAGGTGCCAGGTCAGGACCAATAACATTGCAGATTCTTCTTTGGATTTTATCAAGAATCTCTAAATACATAATGGAAGCACTCGATCAGCAGTTGTGGTATCAATATTCTAAGCATGGATGAATGGTAGACTTTTTTTTTTAAGCATGCAAGGCAGGAAGCCACTAGCACGCAAAGGGTTTCAGAGTAGGGCTGAAAACAAAGATGAGTGATAGAGGAAAGGATGAAGAGACAGTTAGGGGATAGATCAGATCATCTGGAGATGTTGATTGACGTTACATTTAAATAGTTGGAGATTATAGTTATCAGGAAAACAAGAGATGGGGAGGGAGTTCCACGGGCAAGAAGTGCGAGACATGAAGCTATTGGAGTAGAAGAGATGGCTACATTTAACTGTTTTGACAGTGAAAGGGTGAGAGCGAGATGACATTCTAGTTGAGCACTTAAATTCACAAAGTCTGGGAGCCAGTGAAAGCAGCTCACCGGAGCAGTTACCATGAAAGTATTTGTAAAAAAAAAACAGTCAGGCAACAGCATGTCTGTGAGAAAGCAGTTGCAGACGAGATGCCAGATCAGGGCCAATTATATTGCATATCCGTCTTTGGATTTTATCAAGGACCTTGAGACAATTAGAAGGGGCTCCAGACCAATACTCCATGCAAGGGTGAATGGTTGATTTGTAGATTTGAAGGGTCGACTCCGGTGAGAAAAATTTCCTGGCGCAGTATAGGGAGCCAACTTTCTTATAAATATGCAAGATAGATCGTGTCAAGAAGAAATCTCCAACACAACCCAGTAAACCAACTTTCCCGGAAGTGCACCTAGCAGTTGATTCAATATAATCTTTCCACTTTCCTGTGAAGGCGCAAGGAGTCACTCTCCAGGGAGGTTGTATTAGCTATGCCAGAAAGAGCAGTTTCTAATTTTAGAGGTGTTAAAATTAGCAAACCACTTCTTTCCCCAGCTAACAACAGAAACTTATGCATGATATTATATATCATGTTCTATCCAGTAATATACGCAATTTCTTCTAGTGGATATAATTGATTATAGTAGCATTAAATGTATTGTACTCGATATTCAAGATGTCATGTCTGTCAATACTTAAGTTACAAAGTAGAACAAAGAAGTGAAGAAATACAAAAAAAGCAAAGAAATGAAGAAAGAAGTGAAGACAATAAACTGCACATAACAGCAAGGCCATTAATCAGGAGGTTTTGAGGAGGATTAATTGCTGATGGTCCCGAGTCCACCCTGACCCGGAGTGGTAGCACCTGTTAAGGTTCAAACTATGGGCAAACAGTTAACCCCCCCAAACTGGGGTCAAAACACTATGAAAGTATAAAAAAAGGTTTTAATACCATCAATGCATCTTTGAAGAAAATAAATATTACCAGCAATACATTTTTGAAGGGGAAAAAAAAACACAAATATTACCAGCAATACATTTTTGAAGGGGAAAAAAAAACACAAATATTACCAGCAATACATTTTTGAAGGGAAAAAAAAAACACAAATATTACCAGCAATACATTTTTGAAGGGGAAAAAAAACACAAATATTACCAGCAATAACAATCTTGTTGGCATTAAATAATCCATTGAGGTTGATATGTCACAAAACAAACAAAATACAAATGAAAAAAAAAAAAACCTCTCTCATCAAGGAAGAATTTTTTTTTTTTTTTATTGCTGTTTCTACTTACTGCAGTTTACCCACTCAGAAGAGATAATTCTCTAAGAGCACAGTTTAAGAATGGCCGAATTTAACACTGTTACTTCACGATCATAACATTCAGGCATGTTGTCGTACTATCATTCTGGTTACCTGCCTAAAGTATTGATTTTATTTTTATGGTTTTATTTTCTTTTCTTTTTTTCTGTCTGGTCATATATAACGATCAACACTCTCTCACCAAGGCTGCTGGAGTGATACCATCACCCCTGGATCCCCAATTGCTGGAGTGATTGCCCCCGCTGATGACTGCTGTTGAACCAATCCGAGGGTGAGTGGAGAGATGCCCTCCCCTCCCCGATGACCGTCGTAATGCCAGTCCAAAGCTGCTGGAGAGAGTGATCACAACACCCTCCCCCCAACCCTGGCCACTGCCAAACAAGTTCAAATTTGCTGATCTGTTCTCTTGATTTGCATGTCAAGGATCCACAGGTGACCCTTCTGGGCTGGAAATCCCATAGGGCTGGGTAAAAAATGAATTTCTCCAGTTCTGTAAAAATTAATATACTTTTCGGGATGCTGAAAAGTTTTCTGTCTCACCAAAAAGAGAACTGAAAAAAAAAAAAAAAAAAAAATCTCATGTCTGGTAAGATTTTGAAATTGGTCTGGGCTGTGAATTTTTCAGCATTCTGATCACAGACACACACACACACACACACACACAATAATTTTGCTTAGATCAAAGACGTCAATGATACCTTCTCAATGTAAATATTAAATTTCACTCAGAAGTGCTGATTCTCTTTCTGTCATACACTGTGTGTATATATGTGACTTTGTATGCATGTTTGTAATGCATAGGCATATGTGTGTGTGTTGTGCATGAGTGACTTGCCTGTGTCATTTAATGTATGCAGATGTACACACATGCCCACAATTTGATAGTTTGAAATAAATCACTGGGATAATACATTTCCTTCTCACCAAGTCTGGACAACTTCTACCTTGGGCTAAGCAGCAAAATCATTAAGTTGGTGATGTTCATTCTTCAATCTTATTTTATGTGCCACATCTTTTCATGGTTCTCCAGAATTGCCTCACTTTTGTTATTGTAACTTTTTACCCTTTACAAATCATTCACACAAACTAGTTACTCAATTACTCTATGGTTGCCACACTTCTCTTGCCTTCTTGTGTTCTGGGAGTGTTATTATTTTAATAGACCTGCTTCCTTCATTATATTCCCCAGAAACTTCAACTATCTCTTTTTGATTCCTCATTAGCTACTCCATAAAATGGCCTTATGCCAAACTTAGGGTTCAACCATATCTGTTAATATATGACACAGGACCCAGAAACTGAGTATAAGTTTGTCATTTTGAAAGAAAAGAAACATTTCTGAGTTATTTGCATCATTTACATGTGGATTATCGTTTTCATTTTTGTCATTATCATGTTTTAGCTATTGTGCCCTGTGGCCTGCATTAGGTGTATGTCAATCTGACTTCCCAACAGGGAATTTCAAACTGAACCGTTTATTTAATCTACAGGGGGAGACTGTTCTTGTTCCATTGCCATATCTAGGGATACCTTGTCTCCTTATTTTTAGTCCTGCTCAGTTATTGCTTAACCCATTTCAGCTAAGTCCGAGCACACATGGAACAATAGCTTAGTGGATTAAAGCATTGGTTAATGAATTTGGTATGGGAGTGCTAATCAAGAAATTTGTATTTCCCCAATTATGAGCATTATTATGTTGTAGTAATAGTACACCTTACTGCATGGATAGAACAGAAAAGCTTTGTTCTCAAATTTTTAAACTCTGAAGTCATACATAAAATTATTTACAAATATTTACACTTATCCCCTTTTTTTTTTCTTTTTAATTTTTTTAAAATACTTTTTTTTTGAGGAAAAGTTATTTTTTGTTTGTGTTATTGTCTTTGAAAAAAATGTTCTTTGTTTTTGAAAAAGAAAATTGTTTTTTTTTTTTTAAGTTTTCTTTGGTTTTAGGGAAAAAGTTATTTTTTTGGCTTTATTTTTGAAAGAAATGTTTTGTCTTTACATTTTCAAAATGGTAAAGACCTCGATTCATGGAAAAACTAGGTTTAAAATAAAATTAATATTAAATGAAACTTTTTTTCTTTTTTTTTTTAACTGAAGTTTTAAATTTGATTTTTGTTCCATTTTTATGTATTTCCAGTTTCCGGAAAGAAGGACCTCACCTTTCAACTCTGCCAGACAACATTTTAGAAACACTTGGAAAGGATTTTAGTTGGTGCATGGACCAGTACACTCTCAGTTTAGGAGAAAACATACAAGTTATCAAATATTCTCAATCCATAATCAAGTGCTTAATCATCCTATGTCGGTAAGTTTTTTTTTTTTCTTTTTTTTCTGCAAATTGCCATTTTCTTCAAATTTGCTTAACATTTCAAAAGGCCCATTTTTGCAAGCCCAGGTGATAAATTTCAATTTCGCCAATTTGTAGACTCTCTTTTGGTAAAATACTATGTTGTTTTGCTGCTGAGATATCAGATTATGCCAAACAACTCTTCTGAGATTTCTTGGTCATGGCATGAGAATTATCCAGCTCCCAGAGTAAAGGATGAGCCTTTGGTAGCTGCACCAACAGTGGCAGCTGTGTGACATAGCCAGACCCAAAAGAAAGGTTGAAATAGCTTGTTAATAATGGCGGTAAACCATCAACCTATATATATATATATATATATATATATATCAGTGGCGACTCTAGCCTATTTTTGCTACTCGTGCCCCCCCTCTGCCAACTTCAGTTCCCAACCCGTGGTCCGTGGACCCAAAGTAAATCATCATAGTTGCTATTAAAATGATTCTCCATTGTATAGCACAGATTGACTAACGTACCTTGCATGGTGGTTTTTTGTAAACAATCAAGTTACTATATAATTTGTAGTCTTGTTAATACAGTAGATAAGTTTTTTTTTTCCTTTCAAAAGTATAGAAGAAAAGAAAGATGTTCATTACTATGATGAGAAAAATATCTTTATTAGAAAAAAAAATTGATGACAATGACAACTAACCAGGTTAGCAATTAAGTCCACAACTCTCCAGGTCATTTGTCTCATGGAATTATAAAATAATTAAATGATTGATTTTTATTAGCACTTCACAATCATTTTTTTTTATTAAGGAATGGTTTATTCGTGAATTTTGAATCATAGAAATCTCTTTTTGGAAAATACGGTTTGTATGTCATTTTATATTAATATTAAGAAAAACCCTGAAACCTCGGAACCTTTGTTATAGAATTCCGTGTAGTAAACATAAATACTTTTGTAATTTTTTCAAAAGATTCTGTATGTAACTTTTTTTTTGCTGCATTATTTCACAGATTTACTTTTATAACCAGTCAATGTCATTAAACCATTTGGATTGGAAACGAACGAGTTCTAACCTTATTCACCAATAAAGGAGTTGGGCGCCCAACTTTGATAATTTCTCGCTTCTCGGCTACATTCCTCTGGCCAAACGATTTATTTTTCAGGTCTAACACAATATCCATTTCCATTATATCTAATTTTAAATCCAGATCATTAACAAAATGCAGTACAAATTAGCCCAAGTGACGTTATCACATAAAATACAGGAACTTCAAAAATGTAAATTCCATCTGATGAATCTTGAAACATATGATATCTTGACCAGTTGAAGTTATCCGTGGAAACACTGAGAACATTGAAAATCTTAATTTTATCCAAAATTCTAATATACAAAATTAATTAAATAAAGTCTGTAATAAAATTGAATGTAGTGAAATTCACTGAAATATTTTACAACTGAATAATGTTCTCCAAAAATGGCAATTAAATTTTCACATAGAATAAAAAAGGTAATATTGATGAATAAAGTTGGGTTTATAGCTGTGAAATGATGGATGCAGCAAAAAAAGTGACATACAGGACCTTTATGAAAAAATTACAAAAGTATTTACGTACCACTACGGAATTCTCTGAAGGTTCATTGGTTTGAGGGGTTTTCTAAGTATTAATATAACATGCCTTAAAAAAAATTTTTTTAGATTTCTATGATTCAAAATTCACGAAAAAAACATTCCTCAATAAAAAAAAAACAAATTCACTCTTATTCAAAACCTGTTCTTTATTAATTAATTAATGAAACAATAACTTCATCACTGATATTTACAATATAAATAAACGTGGTTATGTTTACAAACATCTATTCATTACTACTACTACTACTACTCTATCTCTCTTTCTCTCTCGGTCTCTCTCTCTTTCCAAGACAATCATCAGCAGTCAATATGTGCTAATTGTTCTGAGCACGGTATTTCGACTTGATTTTGCCACCATTGGCTACAGCCAAAAAATAAGATTTCTCTAACATTACTTGTTATTATAAATTTTTCTTGTGCTTTATACGGATTGCCGTGTTCAACATTATAGCCGATATTATGGGATGTTCAATAGATCTGACGGTGGCCATCCGTTCAAAAACAACATCGTTGTATTATTCCCAGATATATTTATGAACTTTTGGCTACTTAGTTATCGAAACTTGAATAGAATCGTAATTTAATTGAGATCAGCCTAAGTATGTTTGCTTGAAATTAATGGATGATTTTTAATCCATTTTGAATAACATTGACCGAGTTATTGGTGGGTGCCGGGGCCTCAGTAGCACTAGTCCCATCTCCGCCCTGATATATATATATATATATATATATATAGCTTTCTAAAAGTCACCATGCAATGTTGATCCTTCTGATCATGTTGTGTGTGCATATATATATATATATATATATATATATATATATTTTTACACATATAAATTTTCAAAAGTCAACTTATCAGGTGGCATTTAAGCTAGCTCCTATGGAGTGCTCTTGATTGGGCCTTTGGCTTGTTCAGGAGTTTGAGGATCCCTAAGTCATTGCATATTCTCAGCAGTGGAAGCTCTCCTGGTTGCTGTTTGATCTGGGTTTTCATTTGCATGGGACTTTCTTTTCCTCATGGCAGCCTTGGCTCTTTTGATTACAATCTGGTCTTCTGTTGGCAAAGATTTTTGTATGCAATAGGCAACAATAAACTACAGAACTCAAAATTGATCACTGCATTTAAGTGTTGCATTAATATTTAAGCTTACCTTTTAAAAGTTCAATGATAATTCTTCTGCAGCCACTTAATTTAAAGGCAATTTGATGTGCGTAGGTCCTTACTGTCCCTACAAACAATTATTTTTATTTCATGGGTGACTTTTGCTGGATTTCACAATTAATTTTGATTATTCCTAAATTTATTTCTAAGTTATAAAAATTGTCATCATACAAAAATAAATTGTCACGAAAAATCAAGTAAAAAAAATTGCCAAAAACAATTTCAGTAGTAAAAACTTGGGAATCCAAAATTTCGGTATTGCTAGTCGAGATCCATCCCAGAATGTTTTTAATTTACTCATGGAGTCAGCCTCATTCCAAAATAGCATATGTTGGGCTATGGCCTCTAGGAGTAAAAAGTGAAATACACTGACATTCACATTTATTATATAGATAAAGAAGATGAGATATTTAAAAGTTAGTGTTGTGTCCCTTTAATTGAAAAAGTGTGACACACTGACATTTGCATTTATTATATAGTTTTAAGGTATGCTATATTTATGGCTAAAAGTGCTCAAAATCAGATATAGTGTATGTAAATGTAAAAGTGGAGAGTAAGGTCAACACCAAGTGACAATCTGTTTCATACTTGACTGCAGTCTTCAGGCCTGATTGTTTTCAAGCATTAACCAATCTGAATGTCCACACACATGCAAATACACTAACAGTCATACCCAGCTGGTCAATCAGAAAAAGCGTTCAATTAGAATGGAGTGAAAACAGCATCATGTTTAGATGTAACAGGGTCTATCTTCTTCAATTACTTTAAAGTACTTCCATTAAAAAACATATTGAATTAATGCAGTTACCGATATAACAGAAGTAGTCTGTATTTATTCAATTGAAGTTAGCAGAGGACATGAAGGGGTAAAAAAAGGCAACATGAAGACTCACTTCAGACCACAATTATTTACGAGTTTTTGAAATTCAATTTGTCAGTGTGCTACCAGGGATGAAAAAAGAGGAGACATTTATAAAGCAATTGCTAAGTTTGATGAAAATTGGTTGAAAGATCAACAAAAAATAATAAAGAAACCAGTAAAAATTGCCATTTTTTGCTATTTATGCAGGTTTTCACTATATGGGTGAACTCAATGATCAAGTTAAATGACTGCTAAACAATAAATTTATTGTTATCTACAATTGAGTGAAGTTTGTATTCGATTGCTTAAAAATTGAGGGAGTTTTAAGTTTAAAATTTGTGTTGAAATCTATTTTTCTGTTTTCTTTTCACTGAGGTATCATTGAACTTGTCATGATGTAAGTAACCTACATACTGAGTTTGAGTGAAATCGGAGGAAAAAAGTTGAATTTATCAATTTTTGATCAGCTTTATTGGTTATTGATTTTTTTTTAAAAATGATTGATTTTTTATGCTAATAACCTACCTCTTACATTGTACAGCATATGTACCAAGTTTGGTCAAAATTGGTTGGATGGATCTCATGTGAAAATGTATCACACAGACAGACATCCTCTGTTTTTATATATATATATATATATATATATATACACACACATAATTATTTCAGTATATGTCTATATTTCTGAGATGAGATATTATGTACACTATTTAAATTATTTGGACTATTGTCCCCATCTTTGTCGCCATATTTATTACAATATTTCAAATTGTATGCTCCGGTCTTCTTCAAAACAGAAAAATGTTGAACTGAACCCTTTATTTCAATGATAAAGGTTCATTAAATTTTTGTTCAATACCTGTTTAAGGTAGTGGAGAACTTGAAGAAGGGAATTAACAGGAGATAACTGACATCCATTAAACATGGCACGTGGAACTAGAACAATCTACCCCAGTGAGCGAAATAAAGGGTTCAGTTCGACTTTCCAACCACCTGAAGAAGGCTGGAGCATACAACGGCCGAAACATTGTAATAAATTTATAAATAAATTACCAAATAATGTAAATAGTGTACATAATATCTCATCTCAGAAATATAGACATATACTGAAATAATTATACAACGGCCGAAACATTGTAATAAATTTATAAATAAATTACCAACATTCCCTTTTCATAGTAAAATGAGAACAATACATTTTATGAAATGTTGGACTTTGTCCATTTCATAAAGTGTGATGTCATTTGTTTACATTTGGATACGCATTCCACAGATATGAATGTATGAGAGAAAATCATGAAGAATTCTAGTTTAAAAACAGTAAAATCAACCTTTCTAATTGAAACGCTTTTC